TTAGCGTAACACCTCTGTTATTGGAATATAAGTAGGTAAGTAAAGGTACGATAATAATATTATGGACGACGTGCCTATGTATTATGACGTGAGCAATGGGCACATATAATACGAATATGATGTCGGTTATAGTTTTTATGTAACATGCAATCAGGGTCGGCGTTAGGGGTGGGCGAAGAGGGCTTATGGGCAATCGATGGCCTCAACAAAATTGTAATTGATTATTGTTGAGAGGGAGGTGCAAGAATATTCGTGGCTCCAGCACTGCACACAATGTGTCGACAAGGTTCATGCGGTATATACGTTTCCGATATACTTCGGATACCTAACAAATTTCTAACAAAATATTGAAGATAAAATATAGTTCCAGACAAATACGAATCCCAGCGTATTTTATTTTCAAATTTTATACGAAATAAGCGACCATTCTCCACGTATGTATTTAAAACGTAGTCAGAGAGCAAACATCCAATATTTAAATCGGGACAAATTGATATGAGTTCACCAAACGCATTTTGGATATCTTGAAAAGGTAAAAATGGTAATTCAAAATAGTTCAAAGCAAATGGCGACAGTGCTTCAAAGTTGCAGATAAAAATCGTACTCGTAATCCTGTTTCACCGCTTTATACGCACCTCCTGCAATGTGTCCCGTGGGGAAGTGACCGGCCGTCGTTTTATTAATATGATAGAATCTTCCACAGTTGCATTTAATTCGGTAAACATTCCTGGGAATCCGCCGAGAAGACTTGAGAGTTGAAAGGCCTAGCTTGTGTCGTGATTTAGCTTAGTTAAGCTGATAATAGAAAAATAATACTCCGGTAATGTGTATAATGTGTAAAAATACAGTTTAACAATTTTTTCTATCGCGTCTCGGTGTTAGTGCTGGGTGGCTCTCCTCAAGTTTTCATATCATGTAAATTATTCATCTACGCTCATATAATGGTTATTCAATAAGTAGTTATCAACTGGGGTGACATGTCGACATGTCGTTCAAGGGTGACATGGACCCAGCAAAGGGGTGACATAAAATGTCTACAAGAATAGAGGAAAAAATATGAGAATTATTAAGTTTTTCGAATAAAATCGTATTTATGCCGCTGTGGTGTAATCGCCACTAATGTAACAACGGAACAGAATACAATATGTAATAATATAAACATATAATATATAATACTAATTTATGTATTCATTATTATTATTATTTTTTTTTAATTTGGCAATTTAAAGTGTTCATTGAACCTTGGAAATCAAATAAGTGTATACCTACTTATTATTTTTCTGCATGCTATATTTTTTTCACATAAAATGAAAAACACTCATTATTCTATAACGCACAATTTAAATTGATTAATATATTTATGTTAGAGAGATAAAGTGTTGGGTACTAAAGAGGCTAAGGGTGACATGAAATAAAAAAGGTTGAGAAGCCGCTGCAGGTTTATTGTAACCATGATTATAATGTGTACATTATATTCTAATAAAGGTGAAAAAAAAGAAAACGATAGGAAAATATAACATTTTTCCCTAGTAAATTTTACCATTTTGACATGCCTCATCTAACTTATTGTCCTGCAATTATCCATCGACAATAATATTACAAAGGTGAAAATCGTGTCACGAGCAGCGTATATTATTCAGAAATTATGGAAAACAAGATTTTTGAGATATTCTCGGCATTATTCTGTAGGATAACAAAATAGAAATCAAAATTAAAATAATCACGTTGTATTTAGTGTTATACGAGATTTTGGTTAAAAAATGCTAATTTTTGAATAATTTTTTTTGTTTGATATTTATGGTTCGATTGTGTATGTTAGTCGATAGCATACATGATAAAATAGCTTTGAAATTAAAAACAATTACAATAAAAACTTGAAACTGAGACCCAGGCTCGGTTTTGTTAAAAACAAATATAAATTGCCCATAACTGGAAAACAAAAAGCTAGTTTACCCAAGTGTTTTTCATAACTCGAGGAACATTATTATCATATATGACGGCCACGGGACACACTGTATAATATAGTTCTTACAACCTACATGGCAACAGAAATGATTAGTATTTTGGTTTTGCTCATACCGGCGGGGAATTCGACAAACGAAAATGACGATAAATCGCACGATATAATGTTATTTTTTGTGATCGAGATTCGAGAGGGACAATATAATATAATATTATTTAATTGTGGGACAGTAGCTGCGATGACGTGCGCGCCTATATACAATGGCAGCATAATACGCTCAATTGACCAATTATGGGCTAAACACTTGAATGTCTATTAACACAAACAAAGTTCATGTCCGGTATAGTCGCGGTACCATTATTGTTTGTGTACAGCGTAAGCGTATTTACTGAATAAATTTTATTAATTCGTTGACGTTTACAAAAAAAACTAAATCATACCGTTAAATCGATACCGATTGGGACCTGATGTCCGTGCAACTTCCGTAGTGCAGAATCTATATATTTTATTATTATTAAACTATGTGCATGGTACCAATGTAATTAGTTTATAAATAAAAAAATTTTAACAAAAAAATAAAATTAAAAAAAAAACTCAAAATAGGTAGTATCACTAATGGGTAATGGGTTCTTCCCTCAAAAGCTTCACATGCAACTCTTCTCTCTCACATCTGCTTATTGTTCTGAATAATAATAAATTGTACCTTATAAAAACCAAAAACAAAATAACATACCTAGTCTGCGTTGTTGAAGAATAATTGTAAAATGTCTTCAATTATATTTACTACCTATTACCAATACGCGTTTGCAATTATTCGACACAGCTAAAACGATTTCAATTTAATAACGCCTGTTAAAAAAAGTAACATTATTATTGCAATATTTTCGAAAAATGTATTTAAAGGTCTTGACCGATAAAAGTATTTATTTGTCTCGATTATGTTCCGAAATTTTTTTTTAATAAAATCATTCGATTGAACGTATTTGTTTTTCATATCGTCATAAAATATTGTTATAAATAAATCGACTATTTGCACGCAAATATTACCGAAAAACCACGAAAACGCGTGCACTAGTATCATATATGCATACTCCGTGCGATTTGATTGGTTTAATATAATTAGATATCGTGTAAGACGTAATTATACTATTATTAGGGGAATAATGAATAATTAATATCGCGATATAATATTACAACCCGAAGATGTGCTTTGTCGCTTTGAGTGTATAACAATTCACGTCAATACACTCACTATTTGTACGCGCACAGTAGTTATTATAATATAATTCGTATCGAATATAAAAAATAAATGAATCGATTTTAGCATCATTCATGAGTGTAATATTATTATGATGGGGGTGAGTTTGCCAAGTTTATTATTTATCGTGCGTGCTGGCCAACTCCTCTGCACATAGTCCTAAAAGTATCATATCATGTGACCGGTAAGTAGGTATCGTGTACATGTTAAGTATATATATTTTTTTAATGCAAAACCGGTAGTCTAACTAACAGGAGTCCATCGCGCTATACCTATATTTAATTCTGTTTGAATCATTAATATTATTCTTATTGTTATTATTGTAATTATTATGTAATTTCGAGATGTCCACGGTGTGGCCGCCACTGCCAATTTATATTTCATTGGTCCAATTTGTTACAAAGTCCCTGTGTCACCGCTGTCGTAAATACACGTCACTCTGCACAACTCTGGTGCACCCACACAAGCTCGTTATACCTAATTGTTGTATATTATTATATTTAACGACACACACACGTCTGTCTAAATCGTATATTATTATGCAGTCTGGCGTGTTTAAGTATTTGGCAATAATACTATATATGATATATATAATACGTCTGATGTAGGAACAATTTACGATCTAATAATTGACGTTTGGTACGCACCTATATATGTTCGCTGTATTGAACAATAGTAATAATAATAATAATAATAATAATAATAATAATAATCGACGATGTAGTCTCTTGTACAACATGTCAAAAGAGAGGAGTCTTATTATATATCAATTGGAATAGATTGATCGGCAATGAATGTCTGTACATAACGACGTGAAAGAGATATTATACTTCGAAAAACAATAAATAAATTATAGATCATCAAACGACTGCACACTCGACCACGTTGAATTTCGACAACGCGATGTCTTATCGATAAATCGGACCGGTAAAAATTGTAGTTTGCAATTTTTCTACACTATAGTGTAATATTTAAAATACTATTTAATTAAAAATAATATTTAAGATACATAAACTCATTTATTCGATATTATTATAAATGAATACATATTTTCGAGTACATTATATTAGCTGTAACACGCATTTCCTACATAGTAATATTATACAAGTGAACTTGTTTTAAAATGGACCAAATCGAGGGATATGGTCGGGATTACCTGCAATGCTACATCTAAAATTAAGTAACATAATCATTTGGAGAGTATACCTGGGTAACAAAATCACGTCTTACTCAAATTTTGAAAAGTTATGGCCTTATGGGTGCGTGAGAACGAGATAGGACTTAGGACGTTAGGTTAATATTTACGAAAATTCTATATTATTATAATACAAGCGAATGTTATTATAATGTAAAATATTTTACACTGATGTTCTTACATATATACATATACATACATACTGTAATACTTAGTCAGGTATCTGGCCTGACAAGAAGGGAGGGGAAGGAAGAATTCCCCTGAGTCTGCAATTTTTAAGAAGGCTCTGGCATTTGGCTCAATTTTTTTCAGAATACAATTAAAAATAAGAATTTGATGACCACGGTCATGTGCATAGTAGTCAACGAACTATATAATATAATCTAATAACTCTAATACTAAAAGTATGGCGTAAGCTCGTGGATACTTATGTATAATATTATTATAGATTGATTAATATCAATTATTTTTAACTGACGGTATGATAAATGAACAACAAAGTTGGAACTTGGAAACCACCTCTACATTATTATTTAATAGGTGTTTATTTTTAAATAATATTTGTAGTATTGTTATATTTGTAGGTTTTCCGGTCAGGACCAAGGACGTTTTCCGAGAAAATTTTGATACCGTATTACGTGATATGCGCAACTGTTTCGGAATAACATAATAGTGATCTTGTAAACATAATATCATACGCAGTAAATCTCATACATATTTACGAGTGAGTGTAACCACAAGTTAGACTTATATAATAATAATATGCTTCAAGGGCGCTTTTGATGGAAGTTTTTCGATGCACCCTCAAAGAATTTCCTTTTACTGTTGTTCTGTTGTTCAAAATATCCCGCGTTCATGATATAATCCCTTATTCAAAATACCTAATTCCCATTAAAACTTTCTCAAATTTTAAATAATCACATTATTACATTTTAAGTTGGTTTAACGTAATGATAAATATAATAATATAATCCCAACTGAATATTTTCAATTATAAAATATCACAATGAATATTTGTAAATATATAAATAAAATATGTATATATATATATATATATATATATATAGGTACTTCACATTCATTTATATTATTTAAGTTATTTTTATTTAATACTACCGGTTTATGTTTAAAAATTAGTCTGTATTCAACCTAAATCTATACAATAAATGCTTTTAAATTGAAACAATTTATATTTTTTCACATGAATTATCATTAGTTTTTTTGTATTTTAATAATTTTATGTTTTAATGTAGGTATCTACCTCTTTTTTTGTCATTTTACTTGTGTGACAGCAACCTGCAAAACCTTTACACTTATAATTTACATACTTATTAAACATAACGCTATATACAAATATATTTTTACTGAATCTGTGTAAACTATGTAACTTAATTTTGTGTTTTGTGCTTTTTTACTTTGTTAGCTATTTACAAAGTTAATTAAAAAATTTTTGGTTTTAAAATGTCGCTTTAACCCTTAACAAAATAATAAGATTAGAAAAAAAACATTCAGACCGGCAGCAACACAATAAATATCATCTCACAAGCGTATAAAAAAAAATAATGCCACTATAACTTATTAATCGAATGTATTGCAAAGGGCTATTATCCCACAGAGTTACTTAACTATTATTACTATTACGATAACATTGCACAAAAAATCGTACTTATATACATTTAAGAAGTCAAATTAAGGTATGTTCGGATACAACATAATCTCTATCCCTTACCTACTGGCTGTATAATAATGGAAAATATATCGAAAAATATATGTCGTTTATACTCAAGCGGTATTAATTTAGATTGAAAAATAATATGATTGTTATAAATTAAAATTTAATATCAATATAAATTGTAAAATTAATTGTTATATTTGACCTGCTCAGAGCCAGTGGGATGCCATGATGTGGATATAATTGAATTGACATAATAAAATGCAATGAAAAATAATTCTGAGGTAATTTTAAATATTTGTATTATTAAGAACCGGGGAAGTCGGTCTGCCGTAAAGTTAAGTTCAAAATTGTTTGTTGACTACAAGATAGTTTACACATTTTGTTCTTTAGACGAATATGAACTTGTGTCTATGCACCTATTTTCTATAAATTTTAATTTCTGTAGGATCTAGAGTATGCTAATAATAAATTACCAAGCGTTCTTACAAACAAGCATTTTATCATTATACATAAATCTAAAATAAACTGAAAATTCTCGTTTTTTTTTAAAAAAACCTTTTCTCTTGAGTTTTACAAAAGGACTGTGATGTTTTTCATAAGAACCAACAAGATCCGACTCCTAGTAGGAAGTGACTAGTAGCGATAATTCTGGAAATTGAAGATCGAAGCATTTCTCTAAAACATTTACAAAAACACACAAAAAAAAATACATATTATTGTTTGATCAATAACTCAATAATATCCACTCGGAATCTATAAAACAAAATTATTTGAAACATGGAATGTACTATATAGTTTAGAGGTGAACCAGATTTTTCAAGGCATGTTATTTAATGGCGCGCATTGGGCGCAAGAGTGGATCCAGGGGGAAGCTGCACTGGGGGCAATATATGAAATATGTTTTTAATTTAAGTGTCACCCTTCATAATTAGATTTTGGATCCGCCCTTGATTGGGTGTATATTGTGTGGATAGTATAATCGAAATCCATTACGCTGCATACAATTAATTTCGAAGATGTCACTTTAATTATTCAATCTAAACCAAATACATGAGAGTAATCATCAGTGTTATGAATATTATATTCAAGGTCTAATCGAATCAAGTTATCACTCATCGTAGTTCTCACCATACATAATCTAAGGAATTATACAATTTTAACTCTGCGGATACATATTTTAATATACAAGCATAATATAGAGTACCTACTAAAGTGTACCTACATAATATTATCTATTTACTGCTCGCCAACACAGATAATTTTCGGGGCCTAAATCCAAGGTCAAAGAACCATTATGACTGCGAATTGTTCTGATTTTAAACGAAATAATGTACACTTCGCATATTATTATTATATACGCATAGGGTGCTGTACGTGGCGACAAATATTGGGTCTGATGGATTAGGCATTGGGTTGATGCAATAACAGTTCGCAGCCCGCGGGCAGTGTTTACGCCAATATAATACGTATAGACTTGGCATAAACATCGTCTATTTATCGCCGTCGCCCGTCGACTCTTGTCGGATTATCTCGAGGTGATGTGCGAAACAACTTTAACTCGCTATAATATTGTACAGGAAAAAAATAACGTAATTCGTTTTCAAACGTTATTTTAACACAACATTATTAAATTATGTACATTTTTTCATTACGTATAATATAACTGCTGCAGTGGAGTAAAACGTTACATTATTATGTTTTGTACTAATATTGATTTTTGAATCTGCTTTTTTTTTTTTTAATTTTAGGGAGGGGATTTACTAAATATCTACTCGACTAAAAATAAATTGTTTAACTGAATACTGATCGGTTAGTTCACTTGATTCTATAAGACAAAATATCAAGGAGAGAATATCCAGTACTTATCAATACCTACTAAAATATCCAAGTCCAAATACCCAAGGTCAAAATATACAACGGATTTAAGTCCCAGGTTAAAAAAAAAGGATAGGAAAAAGCTCTAATAAAAAAATATATATATATGTATTTAAAATAGCGAGGGGTTAAAAAAAGATGATGGCTGTTAAAAGTTTCTAATACATTATATTTTAATGAAAAAATAAACCCATTAATAATAATACCATTATTTACTATCTATATACCTACCTATTGGCTATTTATTATTGGCACTGATTAATTCACTTGGCAATCATTAACAAAATATATGTTTTACTTTCTTGATTTTGGATCGGAATGAAAAAAATCTGAATTTTGAAAAATTCAAGATTTTGTTGCGAGTAGGAAAATAGTAAAAATGTAACTCAGTCATAATGGGTAGGCGGGTAATTAATTTAGCCTCAATATAAGATATTAATGAAATAGATCCGATATCATGTCCAAGCGAGGTATATGTAGATGAGTTTGATCCATAAAAACGTTGGCGTGTTCAGCCTTGAAAACTATATTTTTGAACTTTCCTTTTAAACTAGGTATGAGAGGTTGAAAGTTGGATGATAGCTTATTTAAAAGGGTTTGCCCAGTAAGTACGAAATGTGAATTTAAAATTAAAAAAAATTAATTTACTTGTTTAAAAAAAAAATAGTCAATTTTAGCTAGATTTTCCTTTAGCAACCTCAAATATCTAAAACTGGAGAATGAATTTTGTTGTTATTATCTTATTAGAATCATAATGAATAGAAGTGCAGTGAAGAGTTTCAGACTTTTATCTCTAACAGTCTTTTCATGACAGACCTTTAAATTTGTACATCATAAACATACACACACATGTGTATAGATAAGAACTATAAGTACCAAAGGCTAAAATTCGATTAAAGTTTTAAGAGGACTAAAAAGTACCTACGAGGTAAGTTCAATAAGAATAGTACAACCAAAGTACTAGAGCATAAAAAAACAAATTTAGAAGCAAACCACTATAATTTCGTATAGGCACTTGAAAATAAAGTGAGTTCTAGTTCAGATAATTTCCCATTTCGAGCATTGACTAAAGTACAACTTGGTTAAACTCTATTGCAATAAAATACATTTTACGATATGACTATAGTGACTATAGGTACTATAACAGTATCTATATACGATGGTATACGATGACCGTTGGCGTTAACACAATAATAATAATAATAATAATAATTTTATACCACCTTAATTATTGAGGTATCCGCTGTTATCAGCCCGCTATGTACTTTACTCGTGGTGTGGAGTTGCGTAAACATTATTATATTATGATAATATGCGTACTGTCGTATTTTATATTTTATAGTTGTTTTTAACACCGACAACAAACGAAACACGGTTTTAAGCAGGAAAAAACTGTTTGACACAAAAAAATATAAATCATACACACCGCTATATTATAAGAGAACATGCACCCGTATGTGTTGTCTCCGTTTTGCTAATGCATCGTAATAATATTATAGAAAAATGTACGTCCAGAATTTCCAATTGTGTGTTGTTAGCTTAAATATTAGAGTGAATCGACCTATTATCAAACTTAAAGTTAAGAATATTACCCGTCGTTTTTTTACGATGTTTAATTTTTTTAACCGAGTCATGAGTAGGTTTGTTCAATATTTGTAATTGAAAATGCTCATAATTCACTTAAAAATTAAATCATCACAAAAAACCGACGAGAGAACACTGGTGATGTCCTAACCTATAAGTTTGATAATTTTTAGTCAGTTCACTCCAATATCAATACCTAAAATTTATAATATAAAATATATATATGTAAAATTTATAATATTATGTCGAACTATATTTGTAAGATGGATACAACGCATGCGGGTACGATATCCTTTTAGTATTACATCGACGCTATGAGTATATGACAAATTCAAGGGAGTAAAACAAAAAAGTAAAGAACTATAGACGTTTTGTCTTTTTATTAACTCTAATCCTTTGTACAACATTGACATATAATATTATAATAATTAACAACGTGTATTATTATTAGCGCACAAACAGATAGCGTGCCTATGGGCCATCTTAAAAATGTCGAGTTTATTTTATAGGTACGATGAAGTGTAACCGCTGGGTCACTTCTTTTTTTCATGTAACTCGTGTCATTTTTAATACTGGCACATATGATATGC